CATTGATTACAGGGGTAGGGCGGAAACAGGGTAAAAGGTAGAGCAGTATCATGGAAATATCAGAGAAATCCCATAGAGCAAACCAGCAAGGCTGAGGTAGCCTTTTGATCTCGCATCTGAGTTACTGTAAGATAAATATCTAGTCGGCTCTTGAGTAGCTTGCTCACACGCATCGTCCAGAGGTGGTTGGAGTTTCCCCTGGAGGCAGGGCACTCTTGGAGCAAAAAAAAAAAAAAAACGCAGCACTGGCTACCTGGGCTGGTGAGCGGGGCTTTCCCCCCCCACCCTGTGACCAGAGCATCCACCTCCGAGGCACCAGGCTTTTGTCATGTAGACAAGGGAGGGAGATCCCCGCCATGAGGAATTCAACACCAGCCTCTCACACTGGCAGAGACAGATCTCTGGAGAGGGGCACAGACGGTGGCCTTTGTGCCACATGCCTCACCTGCCAGGACAGTCTGCGAGGCCCCTCCAGAGCATCACTGCCCTTTTTGTCCCTCTGTCTGCCCAGGTGCATCCAGGGTCACTGCTGTCTTCTCACTGGCCCGGAGCACAAGCCTGAATCTCCTTGCTGCAGCAGGTCCTTGCAGAGCAAGCCGCTTCCCAGCAGGCTGTGCACCGCGGTGCCGATATTCCGGGTGCAGAGTGGTTCTGCCAGGTTTATGTTACTGCCACTTGGATTTTTTTGCCAGAGACCCCCAAGTGTTGACACAGCTCCTTGTCCAATATGGTGTCAAGTAAACTTTATTAGTAAGCCCTAGACAATATTACAGGTTTCCTCCCAATAATATGACCTGGCAAGTGGCTTCAGCAGAGACCTTCGGGGGTAACAGGCCTTTGGTCCTTGGGTGTGTGTGATGTTTGTTTCTAGCTTCCTTGCTGCGCAAGCAGGGTCACAGCAGCTGTCTGTCCTCCCAGAATCACTGGATGTTAACTAACCTTTCTCTTGGTTTGTTTGTCAGTGTGTCTGTCCTTGGGACTGACTTTGCCCACAATTCCCGCCTGCCACGACTTCGATCTTTAATAATTTCTGGGGAGGAAGAGATTTTAAGTGCCGGTACCCGCAGAAAGAAACACGCTGGCTCGATCTAGGGTTAACAAGCCTGTTTATTGCTTACAGCAGTTTCACTCTGTCCCTGAATGCCCTACCCGAGGGCCAATCACCAGGAGACACCCAGCAATTACTTGGGTTGGATACAGAGCGTAGGCTAGCAGTTAATCGACCATCTGCCACCACTTATCCTGTTAGCAGGCAATTAACTCCGGAACCGGGGGTTCCGGCTTAGCCGCGGTTTGAGCTCACAAACGGAGCATCTTTTCTCCGGAGCTCTCCACTAGCTCCGTTTTTCTCTCTCTTTCTCTGCCAATCTTGATCCCCTCCGGACCACCGTCTGTCACCTCCTCCCTCCCGTGTCCCCGTAACTCACCAGTGGAACGGGTCCTTCAAGTAGGCAGCGATCTCGGTTTCTGGTCTGCGGAGAGGATAGCAATCCCTGCCCCTGTCGGAGTTTCTCCTGATCAACCTCTTTGGTCCGTCTTCCCTCTTCAGGCAGCTCTGGGCCGTCTTCTCTCCCTCTTATTCTTCCTTCTGGGTGCCGATTGGTTCCCTGGGGTCAGTTATTTCCTGTTTCCCCCTCCTCAGCTCTTACTGTTTCTAAGTAACAGAGTCTCAGTCGGGACTCTGTTACATTGTTCATTACTTTTGTAACTTTCTCATCTGAAATCTTCCAATATGTTGGCACTGTGCCAAGCATTCCTTATCTCAGGGGCGGGCAATTATTTTGGGAGAAGGGCTGCTTACTGAGTTTTGGCAAGCCATTGAGGGCCGCGTGACAGGCAGCCAGGGGCAGATAAATATTAATTTTCTAAATTGTTTAGGGGACCCGCAGGCTGGGTAGAGTGGCCTGGCAGGCCACATCCAGCCCACAGACTGCATTTTGCCCACCCCTGCCTTATCTGGTAAACCAATCCTATCCTACTTTTGGTTATCTTTCCTTACCCTTATAGGGAAAGTGCTATACATTGCTCACGTATAGTACTTCAATTACAGCACTTACTTCTTCCAATGCATTGTAAGGCACTCTGCTCAATTGTATTGCTTAGTTCCAATGGACTAATGGCTAAAAGTCTTAGCATAACTCAGTTTGCCCGCTACATCTATAACGCCCATGACGTCACAGTTTTACAGGCCCAGATGCCCCGTTCCTCCCACTTGTTCCCTGCTCCTTGAACTTGCACCCACATGCAGGAAACACTTTAGCCTACCCTGCTGGGTTCCCTCTTATGTCTCTGCCCATTGCAGGTCCCCAGCCCTTCTCCAGAGTATGGCCTCTCCTCTCAGTGCCCAGCCCTCAGAGTCCAATGCACCCACAGCACATAGTGCTTCCCATATTCCCTGGGGGACCTGTGCTCAACAGCACCCACCCCATGCCTGGTGGGTGTTCTTTGTCCTTTCTTATAGGACCTAGTTTAAAGCCCCCTCACCAGCTCAGCTGGTGATACCTTGAGCTGCTCTTACCAGTCTTGTCAGGCAGCTCCCATCTCTGGACAGCTGTCCTCTGTCCTGGAGCATGGGTCCCTGGTCCAAGAGTCCAGAGCCTTCCTGACATCATGGTCCTCTGGGCCTTTCCTTCACCTCCATGGTGCAGTGTCCTGGGTGGGTCTTTCTCTTCCCCAGGGAGGACCAGTGAGAGCAGCCCCTATGCCCCAGGCCCATTCTCCTCCTGCCCTGGCCCTGATGGTCCCCTCTGGCCTGATCAGGGATGTTCCTGGCAACCGTGTTGTTGCTCCCTGGGCAGGCAGGAGCGGGGCTGCCAGGAAGTATGTGCAGGCAGGCCGTAGCACTGGACTTACCCCATTCCCATTCAGGCGGGCAGTGGATGGTGTGTCCCCCCCCCCGGTCAGTCCCTGGGCAGTGAGCAGTGTGAGTGAGGGGTAGGATGGGGTGCTGCCATGATCCTTGTTTGCCCTGACACTGAGAAAGGAGACAGCCATGCGGGGCCCTCCCACTGCTCTCCCCCCAGCTAAGGGAGGGTCATACATGGGGCTGGCTGCCCATGCAGTTCTCATGGTCTGTCCCCACGGGGAGCAGTGTGCCGGAGCGTGGTACCCTGGCTGAGGTGCAGGCAGTGCCGGGCATGGTTCAATTGGTCACCGTGCCCCCTAGCACCCAGACAGTGCCCCCCAGGTCACAGAGCATGCCAGGCATGCAAGTGGAGCAGGGGCTGCCCTGGGCACCGTGCTGACCCCTGGGACAGAAGGGCCCTGGTGGGGCGAAGGCAGCTGGGCAGAGACACGCTGGCTCCTGCCCTGCCATTGCTGTGGTGAGGGTCCCAGCCCCGGTGCTGGCAGGCATGGCCCCAGTGAGCCCTGGAGGAGCCGGAGCAGGGCTGGGGCTGGGGGAGCTCCCTGAGAGAGGCTCATGGACAGGACACTCAGGGGCAGGGGAGGCCTCTGGGCTAGAGTCAGGGAGTGCTGGAGCAGGACATGGGATGGGCCCTGCCCAGGGTCACCCCAGCCCTGGTCTCTCCCCATGCAGCATGGAGCCAGAAGGAGCTGTGCAGCCACTACCCATCACCAGCTCTGATGGCCTGGGCACGGCTGGACTGAGCCATGCGCTGGCACCTGGGATGCAGCATGGGACAGCCACGCAGGAGCCAGATGCAGGGAGCGGGCGCCCATCAGCCCGTGTAGAAGAACTTCCCCTGAGCCTGCCCCCTGCCCAGGCATATGGCTTGGGGTCACCACAGTGCCAGGGGGAGAGTGGCCAGGCAGCCCGCACCCCAGCCATCCTGACATCAGTTGCAGGTGAGATCCAAGTTAAAGGAACCAGCCCTGGCTTGGAGACCTCATCCCCCATCCTGGCCCTGGACCCCTGCCATGCCATCTCTGCCAGGGCCCATTCTGCTGCCCCCTGCCCAGACACTAGTGGGGTCCCCACACCCACAGTGGTGTCTCCCCGTTCAAGCTGCAGCATGTACCACCAGCCCCACTTGCCTCAACCCAGGCCTCAGGGCCCTTTTCCTCTAGTGACAGCTGGAGAGGGCTCTGAGGCTCTGGCAGCTGGCGTTGGGAGTGCAGGGCTCCTGTGGGACTCAAAACCTCCGCGGTGTTGGTGGGAGGGTCTTGCTGGGAGGTTTCAGGCTCAGTTTTCCTCAGAGCTCTGTAGCTGTGAGGTGCATGGGGTGGAGTGGGTGAGTCGCAGGATTCCCTGGGTCAGGGGCTGCCTGGGAAAGTAGAGGACCAAGCTGAGCGCCCAGGAGACCCCTTCCTGCCCCATGCTCTCATGCCCTTAACTCCCCATTCTCTGACCCCAGCCCTGCGCTGGGGTCCTCTGTCTACAGCGTGCCTCCACCATCCTGCCTGGGCCCTGCATGCAGACTGTGCCCTGTCCCTGTCCCAGCTCAGCTGCTGGCCCTTTTCTTGTCTCCTTTCTGCTCCAGGCATGCCTGCGCCCCTGGGGGCCAGCATCCATCACCCCTTGGCAGCAGCCGTGTGCTGTGGGGCTCAGTCAAGGGTTGTCACCTCCATGTCTTTGAGAGGCATCTGTGATGAAATCCTATTGCAGACAGTGGTGCCTGGCATGTGCAGTGCCTGGCCAGTGCCAGGTGCCCACAACCGCCCTGCCCTCTTGCCCGCAGGGGGCTGCAGCGGTCCCGTGGCGCTGGCGGAGACCCTGTTCACCACGCGTGCAGATGGGGCGGTGCGGCTGCGCCTGGACCCCGAGGGGGCCGGGGGCTTGCCCCCCATCACCGTGCACCAGCTTTTCCAGCCGCC